CAGTGAGAGCCCGAGGCCTGTGGTTTCGGGCCACCCCTGCCTATGTTTTGTTGTGTGTCGTTTCGGTTGTGGTTTGCCGGAGTGGACGGCGGAGCGGTCACGGAGGCGTGAACATGTGCATGCACTGCGTCAGACAGACAAAACAAACACACACACACACACGGATCCTGAGTCGCTGCTGATGTTTTTGCGGAGAACCCAAAGCTCCGGTGCTGCAGGGCCCCCCTCGGCCGATGGAGTGCATCCTCATTCTACTTCGAATATTCCCAAACCCAAAACCTTGTAAACCCTAGACCCTTTAAACCCTAAACACCTTAAGCCCTAAACCCTAAAACCCTAAAACCCTAAACCGTAAAACCATAAAAACCTAAAGCCCTAAACCGTAAAAGCCTATAACACCCTAAAACCTAAAAAACCAAAACCCTAAAACCCTAAACCCTAAAACCATTAAACCCTAAACCCTAAAACCCTGAAACCCTAAACCCTAAAACACCAAAGCCCTAAAACCCTAAATTTGTGCACCCATCAGCCTCGGCTGTACAACCCATTGCATGAAGATGTGAAACTCCGTGCTCCCGGCTGGTCTATACGGCTTCCTAAGTATAGTTTATATCTGGCCATACAAAAAGCATGGGCCAGCCACGGCATGAGCAGCCGACTCTCCTGGTCGTTCATAAGTCCCTATACCTATAAGGGGAGGTCCGTGGCTTGTATAAAGTCCAGGGATTGGAAGGGTCCTGGTTTAAGGTTGTTTGTAGTTTTTTGGGTTTCTAGGAGTTAGGGTTTACAGGGTTTGGGGGGTAAAGAGTTTATAGGGTTTGGGGTTTAGAGTGTTTGGGGTTTGGAGTTTAGGGTTTAAATAGGCTTCAGGGTTTTTATAGGGTCTATATCTTTATGGATGCCACAGCAACTGGTATACCTCCCCGAAAGATGCACGAGCTGGACTGCAAAGGGCCATGCGGCCCCGGGCTGTGTGTAGAGATGCGGCTTTAAAGTTTCAGTGCACGACAGCAGGGCCCATTGCACAAAGCTCAATTATATAGGGACTGCATGAAACCTGTTAGGCAGGCCTTTGCATGCTGCATTACATATGTAAAGCCATGCTTTAATCAGGACATGACAAAGGCCTGCACATTTGGAGCTTTCAGCGGCCGACATGTCCATCGTGGAACAACGACTTCAGCCTATGCTGCAGTTAAGCAACCACAAAGCTAGATACACCCTAAACCCTATAAACCCTAAACCCTATAAACCCTAAACCCTAAAACCCTAAACTCTTAACCGCCTACTGTTATGTACTCGTGCCATGCATGGACGTGCCGGCTCTTGCAAGGTCCAGGCGGCCCAAGCACCCTGCAGGAGTGCCAAAGCTATGGGTTTGTAAGGCCCGAGGGTTTATGGGATGTGGCATGCAGGTGTTCGGGCCGCAATTTCGGCAGGCTATAGCAGCCCGACTTGCCAGCATGGCCCAATCCGATGTAGGCGAATGTATATCTGTGTGTATATATGTATGTATTTGTATGTACGTATGTAGATATGTATGTATGTACGTATATACGTATGCACGTATGTACGTATGTATGTATATATGTGAATATATATATATATATACATATGTATATATATGTAGGGTACTTATATAGGGTTTACGGTTCAGGGTTTTAGGGTTGATCGCCGCTAGGGTTCAAGAATATAATAAATAAATAAATATAAATATATATATATATATACATATGTATATATGATCATATATATGTAGGGTACTTATATAGGGTTTACGGTTCAGGGTTTTAGGGTTGATCGCCGCTAGGGTTCAAGAATAATAAATAAATAAATATAAATAAATAAATATATATATATATATATATACATATATATATATATATTTATTTACACATAAACTTATATGTACATATGTATGTATATAGGCATACATGCAACTATGCAACTCTAGCCGGCCATGCTGGTCCTGTCTCATCACCCGATCTTCCGCTCGAGCATGTTGACCAGTTTGCCCATCGTTCCCAAGGCCGTCGTCATCTGGGCGGGGGTTAGAGGTGTACCGGTTTAGGGCTGATAGGGTTTAGGGTTTGGGGTTTATAGGGTTTAGGGTTTTGGGTACCCCCGCCACACACACGAACCGGAAATACCTTAACCGCCTTAACATCCGAAAAACAACCAACAAACAACCAACCAAACAACAAAAAAAAAGGCCCTTGACGCCCTCAAGGCCAAAACCCAGGGTCTTGGTGCGGGCGACAGGCTATTTCAAGAAAGACTCTATATCTATATATATATATATATATAGACACGTGTATGTATCCATATAGCTATATCTATACATATATTTATCTATTTCATATCCAAATATAAACATAAAAAGAGGGGCTGTAGCATCCTGGGTTTTTAATTATTAAAGCTTATAGAAACCCTAAACCCTAAACCCTATAGATCCTAAACCCTAAACCAAAACCCTAAACCTATACTGGTTGTTTTTGCCGAACTGGCCTGGTCTAGGTGAGCCTTTCTCTCATCTCTGTCCTCGGCATTGCGGCGCTTCTGTTGCACCTTGCAACCCGCACGGGTGCGGTCGCGGTGTCGCCCGCCTCCGCTCCTGGGTGCAATGCTGCTGATGCACGAAATAACTTGGGTGGGCACGTTTATGAAGATGGCTGTTGTGTAGTTGCGAAAGGCAGGTGTTGGGTTATATGCAGTGCACGTTACATAGGGTTTAGGGTTTATGGTGCTGGGGTTACATAGTTATGTAGCTATTGAAGCTATTGGGGCTATATAGAGTTCCGAAACTTAATATCGGTGTCTATAGGTTTCTTTGTCCCCGAAGCAAACCCATGCTGCCAAGCAAAAACAAGGCACTGGTGGAAGTTTCCATGGGGATCCACGTAGCCGCCCTGCACGTACTTGCCACCATACCGGCCGCCCGAAGAGCTTGAGCCCGACGACCCCCACCATGCATCCTTCTTCAGGGGCTTGGGCTTCCAGTAAGGCTTCTTCTGCCATGGATCATCATGCCCGCCCGCAGTCCACGGCTTCAGCTGCTTTTTGCCCCATGCTTCGTTGTGAGCGGGCTCCTCCACCTCGACCTCCACCTGCTCGTACTTCGTGGAGTCCCACCACTCCTCCTCCCATCCCTGCCACTCATCTGCAGCCGGCTCCTCCTGCTTCACTTCCCCAAGAGCCGGCTCCAGCCAGGCCGCATCGGCGACACCAGCTGCTGCCTCCTCCTCCATCGGGAGCGAAGCTTGCACAACCCACAATCGGGACCCAAAGGCCCCAGGCACAAGAAAAGCTCTGAAAGAAAAAAGCCACAGCAAACCGCATTGCACAACGAGTCTGACTGCATCCGGCACATGCACTGCATGCCACACTGCTCGCAGGCTGCATTTCTGCATGTAGACAGACAGACGGACAGACACAGACAGACGGACACAGA